AAGAAAAGGATAAGATCAGTCACACAGGTCAGAGTCTTGGGTGAAGCTCATGAAGAAAAGGATAAGATCAGTCACACAGGTCAGAGTCTTGGGTGGCCCAAGCCGGAAGTGACATTCGGCCCGGTGCCCTCCCTTCTTTTCTAGCTGACCCATTCCTGCTTTGACTGGGGAGGCCGGGGTTGTCTTGGGAGGAGGCCGAGTGGGGTCAGCAGGCAGTTGGTGGACATGAGGGACACTGCTGGTGATGGGGTCAGTACTGATTACCACAGCAGTACAGCAGACCAAGCCCAGCAACACTGGGCGTGGGTGAGGAGGCTGCATGGGCTCATGGGCTCGGCCTTCAGACAGGTGGTTTGGTCTTGCCTGTCACACCTCCCAAACTTTCTTTCAAAACCAGCTAGAACTTTTGCAGAAGAGCAAAGAAGAAGCTTACATCATGGCTGATGCGTTCCGAATTGCATTTGAGCGACAGTTAATGAGGAAAAATGACCAGGCCCTGAGATTGACACAAATGGAGGAAATATGTAAAAAAGCGAAAAAACGGATCAGTTGGACGGCTCTTACAGAGGACGGTAACTATAAATCATAATGGCAGTAACGGGTATTTTTAGTTAGTGGAGTACAGTCAGTCTAGAGGAGGGGAGAGAACTGAATTTCACTCACAGCTCTGAGTTGTTTAAAAGCTTAGCAACTACTGAAAAGTCACTGGCTGTTACACATGTAGGGGAGTGAGTGGGATCAACAGCGTAAAAAAACAACAAGACAGTCCCTTTTCAGGTACCCTTCTGTTTCATTTGCGTAAAGCTATATTTAATGGAAAAGACTTTCAATAAAAACGCTATGATTAAATGGAAACTGCCAAGAAGGAAATTGTATTGAAAGTGCTATTAAAAAAAAAAAAAAAGAACCAGGCGTGGTGGCACACACCGGTGATCCCAGCACTTGGGAGGCTGAGGCATGAAGATCTTTGCAAGCTCAAGACCAGCCACAGCTACAAAGTGAGCTCAAGGCCAGTCTGAACTACATAGTGAGGCCCTGTCTCAAAAAAAAAAAAAAATTTAGAAATACAGTCATCTTAGAATTTCATACTAAAACACTTCAGATTCTTATAAACTACTTTAATACTTCTTGACTGATAAATAATTTCATAACTTCTTTTTCAGGACTACTAATTTGGCCTTTTCAATAAGCTATATCCCCAGGCCTATTTTAAAAATTTATTTTGAGACAGGGTCTCACTAAATTGCACAGGCCGGGCACCTGCCTCAGCCTCCCAGAGTGCTAGGATTACGGCTGGACGCCACAACTCTCAGAAAAATAATTTCATGTAGTTGTCATTTTGAAGCAATATGAATGCTATTGAATAATAGTGAATAAGTGATAATTGATACTGAGTACTTAGAGAAACTGAAACTTGTAAAAAATAATGGCTGCTTTGTTTATTTTGGAACATAACTTCAAGGGTAATATCCTAAAAGTGTCTCCTAAGACTTCAGAGCCCATTGAGAAAATAAGTGGCTAAGTCCTCACCAATAATTTGTAATACAAAATCAGTCCTTACCAGTGTTTTCCATAGTAATTCCTTTGAAAAAAGAGTGGGGACCCTAAGCACCCTGCCCCACCGTGTGCAGCAGCACTGCGGGGTCTTCCTCAGCGTCCTCCCCGGCCAGGCCCGGCCCAGCGGGGCTGCTTTGCACAGCAGGCCTTGGTGGAGAGCTCTGGTGGGCCATGTTCAGCGGAAGGCGGACCCCTTCCAGCCCTCACTGGGCTTGTGTTGCTGGAGTGGACAGAGGAGAAGTGGGAGAAGAGCAGGGCGGCAAGGCCAAGCAGTCTCGGGAAGCCTGTGCAGTTCCACCCTTGGAGAGGCTGCTCTGCAGGGTGGTGCTGTGTAGACAAAACTGGTTTTTGCTTAAATTTTCTCCTGTTTAAAATTGGTTATACAGACTCAAGGGTTTCATTCTGGCCCATTCTACCCACACGTACCTCCTTTGGTCACGTCCACGCCGCCGCCGCCTCCCTGATCATGTTTTTCCAGGGGTTTCAGTGCGCGCGTTTTGCTCACGTCCGTTCCCTCCACTCCCTGTCCCCGCTCCCTCCCCCATCTCCTCCCTCCTGTCTAATCATAGTCTTGCGACCTTCTTGTCATCTTTCTTAGATTCCACGCATTAGGGAGGACATCTGATGTTTGTGTTTCTGAATGTGGCTTGTTTTGCTCAACATGAGGGCCTCCAGAACTATCCGTTTTCCCATAAATGCTGGAATCGTGCTCTTCCTCAACGGAAGAACAGTACTACCCCCCTGCGTACACAGACCACATTTTCTTTGTCACTCTTCGTTGATGGGCATTTAGGCCGGTCCCATGTGTTGGTTGTGAATTGCACCAAGATAAACACAAGTGTGCCAGGATCCTTGTAGTGCACTTTGAGTGCTTTGGGTGTGTGTGCATGGATGTGTGTGTGTGTGTGTGTGTGTGTGAGAGAGAGAGAGAGAGAGAAGCATATCGCTGGATCACAAAGTGGCTGTAGTCAGTGTTCTGAGGAACCTCTGTACTGATTTCCGCAGTGGCTGTGCTAATCTACTAACTCACATTCACACCAACAGTGTCGAAGGATCCCCCCTTCCTCCCAGCAAGGCTCTCTTGTATTTGTGATGACAGCCATGTAACCATCACCCCCATGCAGCTCCAGGACTTTCATCTTCCCTGACAGAAACCCTTCCTGTGAGACAGAGACTCCCCGCTCCCGACAGCCCAGGGATTTATAACTTCATGGCACGGGCACCAAGAGAGGCAGGCGACACTATTTGCATTTTAGATGAAAAGAAAGTAAAACCAGGAAAGCTCATCCCAAACTTGGTGAGCAGTTCTGAGTGAGAGCGTGTGTGGTTCAGATGCCTCTGTGGCGGGCAGCATTTCTGTTGGGTCTGCATATTGCTTTCAATAATGTGGGTTAGTGGTGACATTTAAAATTGGGAGGTTTCACATACAAATCTGGATTTCTGGCTGTTCCTGAAGGCTGTGCCTCAGTGACCCAGACTGCACTCTCCTGCAGCACCAGCTGGCAGCAAGCAGGGCCTTGCTGTAATGCAGGGCGGGCACCGGGTCACACACGGCAGCACTGGCACCTGCACGTGGCCCTCCCACACTGCGCTGCACACCTCTCCCACCTCACGTCTCTGGAGAGGACACCCTGCGCTGGCTAGGAGGCCATCCGCCTGGTCCACAGGTACGTCTTTCCTGGAAGTCATCACGAATGTACCATCTCAGCTGGATTTTCCTGCTCAGTTTCAGGACATCAACCTCGAAGGAATAAGAAGACATTAGGGCAGAAACTGCTGGGCCTGCTGCCTTCAGAAAACAGTTCTCAGAGGACTGAAGACCAGACTAATCCTCAAGAAGTGTTTTGGACGCTTGTCGATTTGGTTAGTACCTTTGCTTTGTTTTTCTCAGGGATTGTGACCCATCTATTTGTTTCCTGCTACTTTGGCGTTTTCGCTCCTTGCATCACCTCTGATGCCCTCCCAGCTGAGAGGATTTCTCCAAGCCCACGATGGGGCTGTCCTCACACCCCACACATGCTTCCCCTCCTCTCTGCCCACGCTCCTGTCCTGTCAGGTTCATGCTCCTCCTCTGAAGAAAGGCTCCCCTAACGCTCCGCCAGCTGCGTGACACACTGGCAGTGCGGGACGAGGGGGCTGTGAGGCAGGCATTTGAGTCAGGCGCCGCACCACACCCGGAAATCAGTCTTGTTATCCCCATTCCGTTGATGGCTCAATGAACTGAGACCTGGGTCAGGTGTTTTAAACATACTTACCTCGGGCCGGGGATATAGCTCAGTGGCATAAGCGCCTACCTGGCAAGCACAAGGTCCTGAGTTCGATTCCTGGTACCAAAAACAAAAAATACTTACCTCTAAAGACTTGGTGACTTCACAATTTCCTTAGAAGTAACTGCATGCTGGCAGGGCTGACGGGAACCAAATAAACAAAATATATATACTATTTCACCGGTAGGTCTACACTTACAAAATTTTCAACAAAAAAAATAATGCCATCTTGTTTTTTTCTCTTAAAAACAAATCTTCAATTAAATGTAGCTTGGGAATTCGGTGACAGCTGGTATTGATAGCTTTCCAGATATAGGGCTGAATATTTTGATAAAATATGGATAGTCCTCCTCTGGCTATATTCTGTGGCTTGCTGACTTATGAGTACCGTTTGAATTTCTGTGCATGCAGTTAAATGATAAAGAAGAAGCGCTGGCACATCAGAGAAAGGTTAGTTACATGCTTGCTCGGGCCCTGGAAGACAAAGACACCGCCTCAAAAGAGAATAAAGACAACAGCCCTCTGAAGGAGACCTTTCCATTCAAAAAGCCCTGGCATAAATCTTCAGAATTCTCTGTTTTGTGTGATCCTGTGCATTTAGGCATCCGGACGTTTAGTTCTGTGGGTTGTGCTTGTTCTGTCCAACAGACAGATCCCAACCACACAAGAACTCTTAGAAGATCCTGTTCTTTGCCATCAAGTATCACATTTTGAAGATGCACCCACCGCTTGAGATCAGAACTGAGAGCTTTTTACTTCAGGAGACTCTGGGGCCAGGGTCAGAGCTCCAGGGCACAGTGCTCACCTAGCGTGTGCCAGGCCTGGGTCCCGTCTCCAGCACCGGAAGAGACTTGGAAAGAGGACCATGTGAATGTTGATGCATCTTGAGAAGCTGTGTGTTTTCCAGGTTTTTTTAATTTTAGGAGGCAGTTTATTCAAGCTTTTTCTACATTTTCTACAAAAAATTTATCAGAGTTCTGTGTTGTCGTTTTATTTATAAATTACATTGTTGTATTTTGCGAAGTTTTCAGTGTTTGCCATCAGCTTATCTGCAAATTATTTTGGGGCAAATGAAAGTATGTAATTCCATAAAAGTAATTATACCTATTAATAAAAACATTAATAGCATTTAATACTCACAGTGACTATAAGGATCTTAGATCAGCTAAATCAACATTGTAACAATGTAGTTAACATTTAAAAAGTAATGTTAACGTTTAAAAAGTAAAGCTGAGTGTGGTGGCTCACACTTGTAATCCCAGTACTCAGCAGGCTGAGGCAGGAGGATTGCTGTGAGTTCCAGACCAGCCTGGGCTATACAGAGAGTTCAAGGCCGGCATGAACTGCATAGTGAGACCCTGTCTCCAAAAAGAAAAAAGAAAAAAAACAAGACTTTTTTCTTAATTAAAAGCGAAGGTGTTGGGCTTGGGCAGAGGCATATTCAGTCCCTGCCAGGTACTTTCCTGCCTTTCTGAGGAGGTGACACTTTGTAAACAATGTGCACTGGGGCTGGGGATTTAGCTCAGTGGCAAAAGCGCCTGCCTGGCAAGCGCAAGGTCATGAGTTCGGTTCCCGGTACCGGAGAAAAACCAAAAAAAAAAAAAAAAACAATGTGCACTGACTTGGAGCCAAAGGTCCCAGGAGCTGAGCAGCTGTCCCTCTCCTCATAGCCTGCGGGGTGGGTGATGGCTCAGCAGCGCCTCTTGGTGACCCGAGGATGCCAGAGGTGACACATCCCGTCAGGGCCTCAGGCAAAACGCACTCTAGGGTTTACGGTTTTAGCTGCCATGTGAGTTTTCTGAAAACCAAGGTCTGGATGTCATATTCAAGTTCATAGGGGGGCGGGGAGATAGCTCAGAGGCGCAGCGCCTGCCTGGCAAGCACAAGATCATGAACTTGATTCCTGGTACCAAAAAAAAAAAAAATGTATTGAGGGTCTACAATTTCCCAGTCACGAGGTATTTTATTAATTACCACAAGGTCCCATAAAGTAGGCCTGCTGACCTTGAGCTGCACACGTGTGGGTGTCACTGTGCACATATCAGATTGTGACCCTGTCAGGTGACACAGGACTGTACTCCTGAGAAAACACTGAGAATTAAAACGAATAATTTTTTTTTTTTTTTTTTTTTGGTTTTTCTCTGGTACCAGGAATTGAACTCACGACCTTGTGCTTGCCAGGCGGGCGCTGTGCTGCTGAGCTAAATCCCCAGCCCCTAAAAAGAATATTTTTAGAAAACATGAAGAGAAGAGCTCTTATTTCATGATATAGTTTAAGCAACTCAGAAGTTCCCACTGTTGGGTTTAGGTTTATGGACATCACAATCTTATTTGAAAGTCACTCTTTTAGGCCAGTTAGAGAGGAGACTGAAGAGTCACGTGAGCACATTTACAGAACCTGCCTTTGAAGCAACAGCGTATAATCACGCACAAGGAAATGTACAAGAGAATCGAAATAAGTACCTGGCATTCCTCTCTTTCCCTTTCTGTATGTTTTATATGATCACTATAGTTCAGTAACTACTGGGCCAGGGATGTAGCTCAGTGGCACAAGCACCTGCCTGGCAAGCACAAGATCCTGAGTTCAATTCCTGGTACCAAAACAAAAAAAATGGCCAGGCATGGTGGCACATGCCTCTAATCCCAGCGCTCAGGAGGCTGAGGCAGACAGAGTGCTGTGAGTTTGAGGCCCACCTGGGCTACAAAGTGAGTTCAAGGCCAACTTGAACTGCATAGTGAGACCCTGTCTCAAAAAAGCAAAACAACAACAACAGCAAAAACTATTGACAGTCATCTAACTCACATAGAAAACAGTGACTGGAAAATTATGAAGCATTTCCCAAGATTTCAGATTATAGTACTGTTATTTTTTTACAGGAGCACTTTACTAATATCTTGCTAAACAAGTATTAGAAAATACTCCCCTGAAGTCATACTTTCTACTTGAATTATGAGTCCTACTGTTTTAAAACAATATAAACAGCAGACTTTTATAACATATGCCTGTAATCCCAAGGAGGGTGAGGCAGGAGGGTGGCAAGTTTGAGACTAGCCTGCACAATTTAGCATGACCCCCTTCTCAAAATTAAAAAAAAAAAAAAAAAAACACAACTGAGGATGTAGCTCATTTGTAGAGTGCCCCGGGTTCAGTCCCTAGTATCACAAAAGCCATTCTCTGAGGACGTTCACTGCAGCATAGTTTGTACACGTATAGAAATGGGGAAATTAGGACAGTAATGTATGTGCTTATTATGAAATCTATTCAGCTATTGAAAACAGTGAAGAACATCCGTACGTACCTCCACGCAACAGCACCACAAATGAAAGCCAAGCAGCGTGTGCTCGCACTCTTGTTCAGGGAACACACTTGTGTGTTCATAAACACCTCACAGGCACACATGTACACATATGGAGGAGATCAGCAGATCACATACCAAACTTTCCGGTGGGAAGTGTAATAGGAGGGAACTCCTACTATCTCTGTTTCTCTACCAGAAGAATTTAAGATCATGTATTAATTAAAAACAATTACAAAGGAGAAAAATTGTATGTGTATATGTAAATATATTTTTTATATATGTGTATATATATATATATATATTTTTTTTTTTTTTTTGAGACAGATTGTTGTCTATGCAGTTCAGGCTGGCCTTGAACTATGTTGCCCAGGCTGATCACGAACTCACAGCGATACTCTTGCCTCAGGTTCCCTAGTGCTGAGATTACAGGTGTGAGCCACCATGTCCAGCTGGTATATGTGGTTCATATTTTATAATAAGTTTAAAGACACCTACAAAGCTCATACTTGATCTGGGTAGGATTTTATCCTGTACCTAGGTAGGAACTTCTTTTATAAATGAGTTTGGGCTGGTTATTTATAGAAATCTAAAGTGACTATTGCTACTTTGCCTGCAAAAAGAGACGGCCCGTGATCCTGGAGACAGCGAAGCACTTGTGCAGATGCGGATCCTCCAGCTCCTCTGCACCGGGATCCCCTGCACCTTTACTGGTGCTTTTTTTTTTACCCTAGTACTGGGAATTGAACTCCAGACCTTGCGCTTGCCAGGCAGGTGCTTGTGCCGCTGAGCTATATCCTTGGCCCCACTGGGGCTCTTCTGTAGCCGCCATGCACCACTCGAGAAGAGACACTTACAGCGTTGCTGCAGTTGTCAACCAGCTCGGCTTCCTGTAGCTCTAGAGCCAGCCGCCTTCTAACACTGAGTTTACTCTTTCTCTTCCCACTTTGGATTAAACACACTTCATGCATGGGGACCCTGGCTCCTGAATGGCTGTCACAGGGCCAGATGACACAGCCAAGCTGTGCACTACAGCTGTACAGTGGTGTTTTGGTTCATAAGCTTAATTCTCTCCTCAATTCTGGTTGCAGACCAAACTGGATGAGAAGAGAATCAAATTTCCCCATCAGGTCAACAGTGAGCCTAACCAATGAATTTGATTTGGTTCTTGAACCAAGGTGCCAATACTCTGGTTTCTTTTCAGATCGTATCAGTCTTTTGCCTTTTGAACCAAGGTGCCTCTGTATTCTGTGAAATTTGATCAGTGGGCAGAGGAGTACAAAAGAAACAATCCCATCATCTTTCTCCTTTCAACTGTCCTTAAGCATGGTTTCTGCTCTTCTCCTATAGATGCAACAAGTTGATATGAAACTACACAGAGAAATAGTGCAGTATCCTCAGTAGCTGAAAATGCACATACTTGATGACCTCACAATTTTAAGTATGTACGTTACAGAAACTCATGCATATGCACACCAATACTGCATTTGTTTGTTTGTCTTTTTGAGACAGGGTCTCACTATGCAGTTCAGGCTGGCCTTGAGCTCACTTTGTAGCCCAGGCTAGTCTTGAACTTGCAACGATCCTCCTGCCTCAGCCTCCTGAGTGCTAGGGTTACAGGAGTGCGCCACCACGCCTGGCTTTTGTGTTAATAATTTAAACTACATTGTTAGTTCAGATTTAATGGGAGCCTTCAGGTTAGCTGTTAAAGTTTGCATGTTGAAGGCCCTGTAGAGGCCCAAGTGCTAAATAAAGGCCGCCCCAGGCTGGTGCCATTGGGATGGAGTGGGGTGCAACCTTTAAGAGGTGCGGCCTAGTGAGAGGTACTTAGGTCACAGGGGAAACCCGGGAAGGGGGTTGTGCGCCACTTCCCCTTCTCTTCCACTTAGACGTCTTTCCATGAGGTGCGTGGATTTTCTCTGCCACATACACCAACCATGATGTGCTGCTTGCCAAAGGCCCAAAGCAGTGAGGACAACAGTGAAGAAAGCTAATAGGGTAACCAATACCGATTTCTAAAAATATACACAGGGGCTGGGGATTTACCTCAGCGGCAAAGCGCCTGCCTGGAAAGTGCAAGGTCGTGAGTTCGATTCCTGGTACCGGAAGCAAAACAAAAACAAACAAACAAAATTAAAAATATACAGAAAAGGAAGTGAGAAGGGAAACCAAGTGATACACTACTAAACAAAACAAAAACCACAAGGCAATAATGGAAGAAATGAACACAAACAATACAGATGTAAGACATGAGAGAAGGGCCAGGGATACAGCTCAGTGGCACAGCACCCGCCTGGCAATCGCAAGGTTGTGAGCTTGATTCCCAGTGCCAAAATAAAAGAGGTGAGAGAAAAACATCAGAGTAAATAAACATTAGTGGAATAAAATTTTGAAGTTAAAAGCAGAGATTGGAGAATGGTAATAAAACGTGATCCAACTCTACACTGTCACTGAGTTGTGCAGTTCAGAGCCTAAAATACGAATAGATTGAAAGGACAGAACAGATGCTCCCCACAACTAGTAACCAGAGAATGATGGCAAGATTATAGTCATTTTAAGTCAAAAACTGTTCCAAGACACAAAACAGGATATCATATTTAAAAAGGGGGCCATCTGCCAGGCGTGGCGGTACACACCTGTAATCCCAGCCAGAGGGGGCGAAGGCAGCAGGATGCTAAGTTATAGTAAGAAGATACAGCACTTGCCTAGCAGCCCAGATGCCCTGACTTTGATCCCAAGCACCACAGACATAGTGTGTGAGGACAGGGTGAACTCATCAAGAGATACAATAATCATAAGCAAATCTGCATCCAACCATCGAGCTTCCAATTACATGAAGACAA